TATAAAAATAGCGGTGCAAAGTAAAATTTTTTTGACAGCGATCGATAACCGTGAAGTTACGCGAACGCATTTGTTCGATCGCGCGCGGATGAGCCTCTGTTCTCCGTCCCTGAGCGCGGGCTGTACGCGCGCTCTGATTGGCCAGTGTTTTTCGTTAATAATTCAAAAATGAAGCTTCAAACAACATTTTGGTAAAGGAAAAAGTTGTTCAGAGTCACCCCAACAACCCCCCATTTCCGGGTGTTTGAGGAGTTACGGGACAACCTGTATAAGAAACTATATTACATAGTGTATAATAATATGATGCATAACACATAATAATAATAATAATAATAATAATGTTGTGAATATCATTCTACACAAAATGAAAACCGCACGAAATTATGGACCAAAATAATATATGCTAAAAATAAATAAGATGTATATTTTGCGAAAAGTGGCTAAATTTCAGAATACTTCTCGTTTTCTTTGAAATTCTGAACTGACTCTTCTTTCTGTCAGTTAAATTCTCCTTCGCCTTATGACCGAAACTATGTCTCCAACGCAATGGAAGACGTCTAATCGGCAAGTCGCGTTGCGATAAAAAATGCTCTAGCAACAAATGGCGCGAGTTTGCGCAAAAGATTTTTGTTGCAATATAAACGTAAGGCTTCATAGAATATAATGGACCATGAAACTTGATCTGGACTCATCGGGGTGTATACCAAAATCAGTATTGAATTCTTGCGTTCGTAAAAAATAGTATTCATGTATTAAACACGTATAAATATGAACAACCACTAAAAGATACGTAATAAAACTGAACAGACCTTTTAGAATATAGAATATACTTACCAGAAAAACTTTCATAATGAAAGAAATAGGACGCATCTTCTATAAAACATAAAAAGTGTTTCAGAAAATGTCAAGGGCCTGGCGCGTACCACAAAAATTACTAAACTTTGGCAAAGTATAACACATCATGGGTGTTCTAAAAATTTTTTCGTTTAGATAAAATTCTTCAAACTGACTTTTGGCCAGCTAAATCAGCCATTTGGACCACTGTGCAGCGTGGGTATCGAGGGAAGCGTGCTAGAATTATTCGTTATTCATGAATAACAAATAAACTAATAAGTCGTTTAACACGTTGAATGCTGGACCAATTCTACATAACTTGTCCACGGTGCCGAAAAGAATTTTTTTATTCTAATACAACACATTGCAATATGCATAAATAATATGTGAATAGTTAGGAATAAAACTATTTAAATATGCTGTGTGATGCATTAGGTAAAATACTACCATTTATTCAAATTAAATGCTTTTACTAATTTAAGGACGTTTTATTTTCTTTTGTATAATTTCTTACTATTTCTTGTGAAATTATTAAATAATTACACAAACTTTCATTTTTACGTAGATTGGTTCCAACAAATACTGAACACTTCAAAGGTGCTTAAACAATGCACTATTTATTTCCTTTATATTTTAAAATAACGATTCGACCTTGTTTCTTATTCCAATAACTATTGTACAAACAGTATTAAAAAATTTGATTAAACAATACAGGTTTCTAGTAGCATTGATTTGATGCATTAGAACTTAAATGACAAAAGATTAAAATTTTTAACTTTACAACAACGACAAATAGATTTAAAATGTACGGCTGTGTTCATCATCATGTAATGTACATGTTGGTTTAAATGAAATACTTTTTAAATCAATATACTCTGTCATTAGCCGAATGGTTTCATCTGACACTGCGTACATAGAGCTTTAATTCCCGATTAAACATAGTAAATATATATTTGCGTTAAACATAAGAATCGCGATCTCTTCTTTCAAAATACGTACCAAATAAAAGAATAAGACGTATTTTTATTCATACACACCCAACTGATTACCATAATATCCCATACACGCAAATGGATGCTTGATGTGATGGACTTTGTATAGCAATTAAGAACGTCTGCCGGCGATAATTTCGAGTTTTCCGCGTAGTTTCCTTTTCCACTATAAATTTTCTGAAGCTGAATTCCTACTACGAGTAGCTTCTGTACTTTGTAACCGCAATCTTCTTCTTCGTGTTCTATCGTTAAATTTTAATTACGATTTTACACATTTTAATATACAGGGTGTCCAATTTTTATTTGTAAATGCGAATTACTCGTAAATTACCCGTTGTATGAAAAATGGTTCAGAGAAGAATAGAATGGTTTGAAGAGGGGCATAATCTGGTGTAATTGGTGTTTCTGTAGATGGACGTGTAGAGGTTATGTGAAGGTGACATGCGTTTTTTTAAGTGGAACTGTATAATTTTTAATGCATTGATCGATGCAGCTCTTTATATTCTATAAAAAAGTACTAAGATGTTCATGACGAAAAACCATTGGTTTAAGAGATATTTTAGTTTCAATATTGCGAAGTGGTAGGTACTAGCACACCTAACCTAACCTGGATTTTCTGAATTGATAGTAAGCATTGTTTTTTACAAAATGATAGGAGGGCAATGAGACGAAGTGAATCATATCATTTCATGCAAGCATGCACTCACAATCAAAGCAATGTCTTTGAACATTTGAACTTTTAAATAAATTCGTTACCTTCGATGTTCTGTTTCACAAATTCTTTAATAAAATAACACATGAAATGATTATTAAAATGATTACAATGATTACTAAAAAAGTAATTACACCAGATTATATCCCTCACGGAACCATTTTTCATACAGCGGTTTGTTTACGATTAATTCGTATTTATAGATTAAAATTAGACATCCTGTGTGAAATTTCCATGATAAAAAATATTATTAAACATATTTTAAATAGAAACTATTTAAGACATTAAGAATACCTGAATTATATCGACATGAGGATCAGAAAAATTATCAGGAATCTCAGTTTTTACAGTATTTATGTTACATTATATAATAATGATTTTTGTTTTAAAATAAAATAATCACCCCTTTGTTTCATCCGCTTCACTATTGGCGTAAAGACATTAACAAGTGGATATAAGATATAACTTGATATGAGGTGATTTTTCATGGAAAAATAATTGAAACATATAGGGGAGAGTCGGGGAATTGCGAACACCTAAGGAAAAAGTTGAATAAAACAAATATTGCAAAGGTAATAACTTTGTTATTGTTTATTTACAAAGGCATATTATCTGTTTGTATAGCTTCATAATCAACTTTAACAAAATTTAAGAGTAAAGCCAATTTTTAATAGGAAAACCAAACCGTTGCCGTTCGTGACGTCCTAAATGTCGTGGGGTAATCACGAACACTACTTATTTGTTTAAAAAAGTCGCTTAAATAACCTCTAGATGTGCTCTGACCATCACTGCACTTTTGCAACAATCGTAACACATAATCCAATCTTCAGTTGGAGGATTCTCTTACTTTCTTTTTACAATAAGTACAGTAATATTCATCTTCGGCATTTTCAGCGTTAACTTTCTTTTTGTTTATTTTCCTTTTCTTTCTTGGTATTTCTTCTTCTGTGCGTCTCTATTTTCTCTTGAAAATTTTCAAAATTTCTCACTACTTTACTTCTAGTCAGTCATTCGGTATCATGACGAACGTTCGAGATTGCCCCACACAATTCGTTCGTCATTGCCCCATAAGGTGAAAAACAAAAACAATAGAGAAAATTTTAAAAATTAAAAACATCAAATAAAAAATATACTGATTTTAAATTATTCCTCAATTTGTACTTTTTGTGTTTTTAAACATTAGTATTAAGATAATTATAAATACAAAAGCTATAAGTTACTTTACTTCCTTCAAAATATTAGACGAAGAGGAGCAAAAACCTTCGATAATTTTTACCTCGATCAGTGTGCATGTCAACTGTTTTGTATTGGCGGCCTGGCATTACATTCGGTACGGGCAATCGTGTGGCGAAAGGAGGAATTGTTCATGTTTTTCTAACACCGTTATATGTATATGCGAATTCGCCATTACCCCGCGTTCGTGTTTCCCCGACTCTCCCCTACAGAAGAACGAATCAATTTTAAATTCAAAAAACGAAATACAATGAAAATTCATCATACGATGCTTCGTTCTCGAATAAACGTATTTTGGAAATTCGTTGCATATCCATGCAACTGCTATTATATTAATTTAATACCGATTATTTTTATCCTTGTTATTCCTTATAGGCGTTACTAATGATGTAACTTAAATATAAGTTTCGGATTGTGTCGTAAGAATTGTTACAATGTTCTTTAACGTTCTGAAACGTGAATACTTAAGTTTTCACTTTCCATCGATTTTTGAAATTAGTTGAAAATACTTTTCAACGTCGTTATCAGTACGTACAGACACAAATATGTACAAAAATAATCTGTAGTAAAATGATACAGGAACATACGATTTGCAAATCCAATTTTTTCAAAAACAAAGCCTCATATGATAAAATTTCATTTTTTTATTTTTCATTTATTGTTGCACGAGGAATCACCTCATAGCTGATTGTGCTACATATCACGAAACACGAAATACCATTTATATATTGAATTTCGTTTAAAGCATTGCGCAATTTCTGTTATGGTTTGCTGTACGGAGGTTACATTAATAAATACATTTCGTGAGATATAATTATTTAATAATTAAAATCGATCGTGACTCGTTCTATCATTCGAATACCAGAATTCAAAGAATCCAGTATATTAGGAAAATTCGATTAATTTGATCTTGAATTTTCGCCATACACAAAATACGTTGAATTGAAATGAAAATTCTAGTGCTGGAATGATGGAGTAAATCACGATCGATTTGAATTATTGAATAATCTTTAGAGAGCCTTCTCATCGAGCGTTATGGGATTACAAGTGAAATGTAAACACAGAGAAAAATTTCATTCGTAAATCATCATGGCTGCCGTTCTGTATAATCAACGTGTCATAGGTCACACCGATGAGATATCATTTTGCAGGCTAAGACATGCAGTCACTGGAGCGTTCTTCGGCGAAACAACGTCTACCTCTCTGTCGTTCTA